AAAGTATCACCTCACATCTACCAAATTTACAAACATAAGAGACTAAAAAAAAAAGTCAATATTAAGAGGCTACCGGAAGATAGGTACATTAATACACTGTTGATAGAGCTATGAATTTATCCAACTATTCCAGAAAATAATCTGGAATGATGCAATAAAACTTATTAAACAGTTCTGACCTTTGTTCCTAGAGGTCCTCAAGTAGGTTAACGATAAAAAGAAAGTATCAAAATATTCACAGCCATACTTTTCATGGGTACCTATCACTTGAAGAATGGTTGGAGAAATTGTGATATATGAGTGTCATCATCACACCAAATGCAATGAAAACTATGAGCAATTCACAGAAACGTCAAGACTTGTATGAAACGATTCCGGGCAAAGAAAGCACCAGGAAAAAACATGTATGATGACCATACCAATGTAAACAAAAAGACTAAACAGCATCAAATTCAATGCAATGACCAAAGAATATGCATAGTTATGAGTATGAAAAGACATGAACAGTGCTGAAAAGGAAAATCATAAATTATTAACCACCATAGGAAAAATGCTCCAAATCATTAGTAAAGATAAGCAAATCAAACAACCATGAGATTTCAACTTACATCTAAAAAACTCACAAAAATGGCCAAAAATGGGAATAGACAATGTTAGCGAGGCTGTAAAAACACGAATGTTGGCAGAGCCGAGACTTGGTCCAACCATTCTGGAAAACAACTTGGAATTATGTGAAAACACTCATTAAAATATTCCTATCCTTTGATCCAGTGATTTCACTGCTAGGCATACATTCCCAGGAGGTCCAAGACATAAAGGTCCCAATATACCAAAAGCATAAGAGCACTTTTTGTAGTAGCAAGCAGGAGCAAGGGAAGAGACTAAGCACCTACTGGATGCCAGGCACTGTGCTAAGTAAAATATTTTCTCATTTGACACTCACAACAACCCTGTGAGGTAGGTTATGTTATTTTTTCTTTTTTACAATTGAGGAAAGTGAGGCAAATAGAAGTTAAGTAACTTGCCCAGGGTCATATAACTAAGTATCTGTGGTTGGCTTTGAATTCAGGTCTTCTTGACTACAGATCAAGAGCTTTATCTACTGTGCCACCTATCTGACTCAAATGATACGTAACAAAGTAGAAGCCCATCAACCAGGAAACAGCTAAACAAGCTGTAGAATGTGTAATGGAATAAAGCTGCACTGTAAGAAACAATGAATAGAAAGAATTTAGAGAAGCATGACAAGACACACACCTGTTGCAGAGCAAAGTAAGTAAAACCAGAAAACCGCCATGCACAAGGATGAATGGACTGTAACGATAGAAATGGAAATGACAAAGGGAAAACTGAATGTGGTATAATGATAACTGAGCTTCTTCCCAAAGAAGAAATGAAAAGCTCACCCCTCTCCCTTCTTGAAGAGTTGGAAGGCCTTGGTTGTGGGACATTACACAAATTGTCAGATTTGGTCAATGTGCTGTTTAGCTTTGTTGAAAGGATCCCCCTCTTTTCTTTTTTATTCTTTATTACAAAGAATGGCTTTATGTGAAAGGGGGGAAAAGTCAGAAACAACCATGGAAAAAAACAAAAAAACAAAAATGCAAATTAAAAAAAATTTTTTTGAATGCAAGGACCAATCTTAGTTCTAGAGATTACTAATGAAATACAATTTCCTTCTCTCAATAGTGGTGGTAGATTACAGATACTGAATGGTATATACATCATCATAATGACTAGCTTTAACTAGCTTTTATAAAGATTTTTATTCAGGGAGGCTTATTGGAAAGTGTCAGTGAAATAAAACCACCAAAGGGATCAGTAAAATACGTGCCTCTCAAGAGGCACAAAATTTCACTGAAGAGAAGTCCTTAAAATGTAGATTCCACCAAATGGAAAAAGAGGTTCAAAAGCTCACTGAAGAAAATAATTACTTAAAAATTAGAACTGGGCAAGTGGAAGCTAATGATTCCATGAAACATTAAGAAGCAATAAAACAAAATCAAAAGGATGAAAAAATTAGAAGAAAATGTGAAATATTTCACTGGAAAAACAACTGACCTGGAAAATAGATCCAGGAGAGATAATTTAGGAATCATTGGACTACCTGAAAGCCATGATCCAAAAAAGAGGTTAAACATCATCTTTCAAAAAATTATCAAGGAAAACTGCCCTGATATTTTAGAACCAGAGGGCAAAATAGAAAGTGAAAGAATCCACTTATCACCTCTGGAAAGAGACCCCAAAGTGAAAATTCCTAAGAATATTATAGCCAATTTCCAGAGCTCCCAGGTCACGGGGAAAATACTGCAAGCAGCCAGAAAGAAAATTCAAATATCATGGAGCCACAGTCAGGATAACCCAAGATTTAGCAGCTTCTACATTAGAGAATCAGAGGGCTTGGAATATGATATTCTGGAGGGCAAAGACACTAGGATTACAACCAAGAATTACCTACCCAGCAAAACCTAGTATAATCTGTCAGGGGAAAAAATGGATATTCAATTAAATAGAGGACTTTCAAGCACTCCTGATGAAAAGACCAAAGCTGAATAGAAAATCTGACTTTCAAATACAAGACTCAAGAGAAAAAGAAAAAGTTAAACAGGAAACAGAAATCATGAAATTCAATAAGATTAAACTGTTTACATTTCTACATGGAAGATAATACTTGTCACTCCTAAGAACTTTCTCATTAACAGGGCAGTTAGAAGAAGTATACACTGACAGAAGGCACAAGTATGAGATGAATATAATGGGATGATAATCTAAAAAAATAAATTAAGGGGTAAGAAAGAAGAATGCACTGGGAGAAGGGGAAAAGGAAAGGTAGAATGGGGTGCAAAAGAGTGTTTAGAGTGGAGAGGAAGACGGGGAAGGGGAGTAGCATGTGAACCTTACTCTTATCTGAACTGGCTCAAAGAGGGAATAACATACACTCAGGTACAGAAATCTATCTTACCCTACAGGAAACTAGAAGAAAGGGATAAGAAAGGTGGGTAGGGGAGGGGAGAGTCTGACAGAACATCAGGGAAGGCAGCAGTCAGAGGCAAAACACTTTTGAGGATGCACAGGGTGAAAGGAAAGAAAGAGCACAGGATAAACAGGGGGGAAATAGGATGGAGGGAAATAAAGTTAGTAATCATACTGTGAAAAAAAATTTACAGCACATTTCTCTGATAAAGGCCTCATTTCTCAAATATATAGAGAACTGAGTCAACTTTATAAAAATAAGAGCCATTCCCTAGTTGATAAATGGTCAAAGAATATGAACAGGAAGTTTTTGGAAAAGTAATCAAAGCTATCTAAAATCACATGAAAAAATGCTATAAATCACTATTGATTAGAGAAATGCAAATTAAAACAACTCTGAGGTTAATACCCCACATCTATCAGACTGGCTAATATAACAGAAAAAGAAAATAACAAACACTGGAGGGGATTCTGAAAAATTGAGACACTAATGCACTGTTGGTGAAGTTGTATAATGATTCAACTATTCTGTAGAGCAATTTGGAACTATGCCGAAAGGGCTTTGACCCAACAATAATTCCATATCCCAAAGAGATAAAAAGCAAAAAGGAAAAGGACCTATATGTACAAAAATACTTATAGCAGCTCTTTCTGTGGTGGCTAAAAATTAGAAATTGAGGTGATGCCCATCGATTGGTGAAATGGCTGAATAAATTATGGTCTATGACTGTGATGGAATACTATTGTATTATATTATACTGACAAGCAGGATGCTCCCAGAAAACCTGGAAAGATTTAGATGAACTTATGCAAAATGATATGAGCAGAACTAGGGGAATAGTGTACACAGTAACAGCAATACTGTATGATGATCCACCGTAAATAACTTAGCTATTCTCAGCATATAATAATCCAAGACAATTCTGAAGGACTTGTGAGAAAGAATGCTATCCATCTCCAGAGAAAGACCTAACACAAGTCTGAATGCAGATCAAAGCATACTGGTTTTTTACCTTACTTTTCTTTGGGTTTTTGGCTTTTCTTTTGGTCTGTATTTCCTTTTACAACATGACTAATATGGATATGTTTTACATGACTGCACATGCATAACTTACATCAAATTGCCTGCTTTCTCAGAGTGGGGGAGAGGAGGGAAGAAAGGAGGAAATCTGGAACTCAAAAAAATTTTTTTAATTGTTTTTACATGTAACTGGGGAGAAAATAAAATATTAAATAAAGAGAAAAAATAGCTTTCTAAGCTGGTAAAATGAAAGTGCAAAACTACATAGCATACTTCTTTTTTTTGGGCAATTGAGGTTAAGAGATTTGCCCAGGGTCACATAGCTAGTAAGTGTCAAGTGTTTGGTCTGAGGTCGGATTTGAATTCAGGTCCTCCTGACTTCAGGGCTGGTGCTCTATCCACTGTGCCAGCCAGCTGCCTCCCCAGCATGCTTCTTAATTATCAGAGAACATGCCCTGAAAAACACTTTTACCCTTATAGCATTTCACAGTGTTTAAAAACAGATGAATTTCCTATTGCTCATACACACTACCAGAGGACGATTTATTTCTCAGTAACAACAGAATCTATTTCAGCATGAGGAAAAGCTCTTATAGTTAACTGCCACTGTCAGGGAACCAGTACTTATTCCCAGCCAAAATCAAATACAAAGTATTTCACTAGAAATTAAAACATTTGAAACAAATTCTTCAAATAACAGACATGGAAGAAATCTTCACAATCATTAAGTCCCATCCTTCCTGTGAGGTAGTTGAGGCTGAGGAAGATGAAGTGACTTGCCCAGCAACACAGCTGGTTAATGACAGTGCCAGGGCTAGAATCCAAATGACCAGATTCCCAGTTCAACATCCTTTCTACTATTCCACCTTTGCAAGGCAGTGTTCAGAGTGCCCAAGTTTTTTCCCTATCCTGTTTTCAGTACAAGATTTTTGGTAAATTACATCTCTGTCAACAATTCTCTAACTTTACAGTTAGCAGAGCACACAGCAGAATCATATAGGCTTACTTGAGTAAAGCTAAGAAAGCAGCAGGTTCCACATCTGGCAGTTCAATTTCTGTAGAAGTTGTGGCCATTCCACCATTAAACATTGCATCGAAGACAGCACTGCCCACAGCCAACACAAACCTAACATTCAAAAGGAGAGAAAAAAATGTTCATTAAAGTTCCATTATTTTATCTGCACTGAAATGTTACCAAAATATCTATGCTCATTGCCCTCTTTTGCCCCCTCCCAACTGATCTTTGAAGGAAAAGGTTAATGTTTTACACCCACATCTTTAGAGAATTCTAGGCTGCCTTGCGCGTGAACACTTCCAAAGACATGAAGAATTTGCACCTGACTACACTGAAAAGTTTTCCAGGACAGGGGTTGCCCTTTTAAGCTTGTCTTCTACCCCTAACACACCCATACACAGAGCATTTAGTGCAAAGCTTTACTTAAGATGAATGATTTACAAGATGACTGCTCAACAAATTAAAACAACTCTGAGCTAACACCCCACATCTATCAGATTGGTTAACATGACCAAAAGGAATAATGATAAATGCTGGAGGGGATATGGAAAAATACGTACACTAATTCACTGTTGGTGGAGTTGTGAACTGGTGCCACCATTATGGGGAACAATTTGGAACTATGCCAAAATACTAGGTCTATATCCCAAAGAAATTAAAGAAAATGAAAAATATTTACAGCAGCCCTTTTTGTGGTGGCAAAGAATCGGAAATTGAAGACCATCAACCAGGAAATGGCTGAACGTATTGTGGTATATATGGTTGTGATGGAATACTACTGTACCATAACAAATGATAAGCAAGAGAGTTTCAGAAAAACCTGGGAAAACGTATATGAACTGATGCAAAGTGAAGCCAGTGGAACCAGGAGAATGCTGTACACAAAGTAAAAGCAATATTGCAATGAAAGACTTAGCTCTTCTGATCAATACAGTGATCAGCACAAGACAATTCCAAAAGCCTCACGAAGCTAAATGTTAGCCACCTCCAGAGAGAGAACTGATGAACTCTGAAGCATACTTTTTTCTACTTTATTTTTTTCTTACTTTTCTTTTTGTTTTTTGCAAGATGGCTGACATGGAAATATTTTGCATGACCTCACATGTACAACTTGTTATCATGCTGCTTACTTTTTTCTTCATAGGTGAGGGAGGAAATAGAGACAGGGAGAGAATTGGGAATTTAAAAATTTTAAGAATGAATGTAAAAGTATAATTATTCAAAACATGGAAAAAAGGATCATTGAACTAAATAAATAGAATCATATACTATGAGACTAAAAAAGTTTCCTTAGAACACAGAAAATGAAATGGTGGAGCAGGAAAAGTCCTAAGAACACTGCATGTCAAAACTGGAAGAGAACATGGAATGTTCCAGGTAGAACTCTTGGAGATTATCATTAGTCTTTGCAGCGCAACCTGAAGCCAGAAAAGGGGGATGGATAATGTGTTTTTCAAGCCTCATGAGCCTTGTTCAGGTTGGTCCATCTGAACAACACAACAACTTTGTGTGCTGCTTGGCACAGGTACTGTAACAATTTTACAAGAAGAGTGAAGTGCTAAGATACATGGTTTCTTAAGTATGCACAGCTTTCCACTGACAGTTCTAAGACTCATTTTCCCCTAATATTTAGAACTACTTTCCCTTATCTGGAATTGAAGTTCTGAAAGTTCTCCAAGTCCTTAATGGAATTGTACATCTCAAAGCTGCTACTTCTATGGTCCTAAAACAAAGACTCTGTTTTTACTGATAATTACCTGTAACAAATACTCTTCTCCAAACCACTTGTTTTAAGAGTACCTTATATTTGCAATCTAGTCCTACTGACAAATAGATGAAAAGCAGCTCAATATGGAAGAGAGAGGGCCAGCACTGGAGGTGGGAACACCTAGGTTCAAATCCTGCTTCTGACACTTACCAACAGTAGGACTGTGGACAAGTTGCAAAACTTCTCAGTGCCCCAGGAAGCTCTAGGACTATGAGTTACAGATGACTTATTGATCTGTCCTAGCATAAGTTTCAATATAGAAAGTTCCCCACACAAATTAAATCAGAGGTCCAGACTGAAATAAAACACACACACACACACACACACACACACACACACAAATGGAAAAATGGTTTACAGTTACACACATGTTAAACCCATTATCTAATTTTATCTTCAAATCCAGGTCTTACATGAAATCTGATATTTCTTACGCATACAAAACTTAAAATGCTTTTCCAAACCAAAAAGGAATTCTAAACAACTGCATTTCCCCCCACTTAATAAATTCCAGTGGTTCTCTATTACTTCCAGGCATCAAAAAGAAAATCTTGTTTGGTTTTAAAGCCCTTTACAATCTGACACTTGCCTACCTATCTATCCTACCTTCTTATACTTTACTCCCCCTCTCCATAGATCTGGGAGGGGAAGACCTGTTTGGGCCCTGACTGGTTCACAATGAATGTAAATAACAATTGTTTCTGTTTTGGCAGAAATCCTGAGGGTCTTCCCTCCCAGATCTATTTTTTTTAACTTTTTTTTTTAAAGAGGCCATCCTTTGCCTCATTTTTATTAAGCCTTAATCACTGAATAGGGTTTGCCTTAGTCAAACTGAGACTTGTTGAGGACCTCGGCTTGAAAGGCCAAGTTTCCCAGTGCATCCTGGGCCATCTCCAGTTGTCCTGATCCATATCTGGCCATTGGCCCCAGATAGCTCCAGAGGAAAAAGTAAGGCTGGTGACTCCAATTCACTTGCATGTCACAGCACTGCCTCCCTTATATCATGGTCCTCTTCGAAGAACGAAGGACAAACAGTAGTAGCAGCAGCAAGCCCCCTCCATGAACTTTATGATCCAGAAAAACTGGGCTTTCTTGGTGTTCTTCCCACACGACTCTCCATCTCCCAACTCCACGTTTTTTCAGCAGCTGTCTCCCATGCCTAGAATGCCCACTCTTCTCACCTCTATCTCTGGGCTACCTTAAAGACTAGTTTAAATCGCACCTTCTATAAGGAGCCTTTCCCAGTTTCCCCTGCCCTCTCCCTCCACCAGTGCCTGCTAGATTACTTCCCACTTACCCTGTAAGGATCTTGCATGCACACAGCTGTCTGCAGATTTTCTATCCCACTAAAATATGAGTTCCTTGACACCAGGGACTACTTTTGCCCTTGTGATCCCACAATGCCTGCACACAGTAAGCAACTGAATTCACAGTGTACATATTTGATCCAACAGCACAGATGGCAAGTACACATGCTTGCACATTATATGATTGTTACCTAAGTCTTCCCACAAAATGCTTAGATGGGTCCACAATGTGAGGATGGTTTTCCTCACTTTCACCATGCACCACAAGGATACTAAGGGAGCACACAAACTGTTCATGAGTTATCCCTCCTCTTCCTCCAGATCTCAGCCAACACTGTAAGCTAGATAGTACTTAGAAGCTCAGACATTAATGCGACTGCACTGTGACATATCATTAACATGTCACCATGTATAAAAATGATTTCTGATATTTTAGCCAAAGGTTCCTGCATCCCTAAAACTCTCACGCAACATTTTATGTTTAGAACCAAAAATTCCTAATTATACTAAAAGATACAAAGCAGTTTTCACAGCTTAGCACAGTACCTGGCCCACAGTAGGCACTTAATGTTTACTGAGTGACTGAGTGAGTGGAATACCCTCCTGGAGCAGCTAGGTGGCAAGGACAGAAGACCGGCCCTGGATTTGGGAGGACCTGAGTTCAAATTCCGGCCTCAGACACATAATACTTACTAGCTGTGTGACCCTGGGCAAGTCACTTAACCCCACCGCCTAGCCAGAAAAGAAAACAAACCAGAATACCCTCCCTCCAGGGCATGTGGATATGGTCAATGAAGGAATTTACTTTGCTTGACTATACCTATTTGTTGGGGTTTTTTCCTTTTGTTGTTGTTCAGTGGTAGGGATGGGTGAGAGAGAGATAAAATAAATGCTTGGGGGAGGGGAACATTAGATCCCCTGACTGCCAAAATAGGAATGCAGGTTCTCTGCCTTGAACAAAGCAGACACTTAACAAATGCTCCCTGAATAGAACTGAATACAGTAAAAACCAATCTCACAGATCCCAGACAGGGAGGTGTGACTAGATAGTACGCACGCAAAAAACATGGAAGCTCAAGCAGAGCCCAAGCTCAACCAGATTCACTGACATGAAATGGAAGTCAGAAGAAGCAGGTGCTACCACAGGCTTAAGAGGGCTCTCCAGAATGAGAGGCCACGGTGCCATTAGTCTGGCCCCGGCCGACAGCATCTGGAGCACTGTGCTGAGCCTTGACAAGCTGCAGAAACCAGGACAGTGTGAGAACTGATGGCCACGCCATATGATGACTGGTTGATGGGAATAGGGAACACTCAAGATGGAGAAGACAAAATTTAAAGGAGACATAATAATGATTTGAAAGGCTATCATTGTGGGAAAGAGATTAGGGTTGTTCTGCTTGGCCTCAGACTACAGGACCAAGAACAAGCAGAAGCTGCAGAGGGACACATTTAGACCTGATGCAAAAAAAAAAAAATTCCTAATGATTAAAGCTATGGGAAAGTGGACGGCCACTTGCCGAGGATGTTGTAAGACTGGTTCACTGTTCAAGTAAGGCTTGATCAGACGGCCCCTGACAGCCTTCCTAACACTTGGATTCCATGATTAACTATGAAAAAGTCAGACTAAGGACAACCGGCCTGGATCATCACTCAATCCATGCTAAAACTGTCCTTGACTCAATTCTCTAAAACCAGATCAAGAAGCCCTTTCAACAATCAGGAATATCTGCGGCCTTTCACACTGCCTCTATTCATAATGGCTTGTCCAGTCCCACTGTGCCATGACTAAAATGCCTTAGGTAGCAGACACAATATCAATGTACATAAAATAAAGGTTAAAATATTTTAAAATGTGTTAACTTTCAGGGCATGTTCCCACATTAGCCACGGACACATTACTTATCCCATGGTCAGACTGGGAAAGAATAGCTAACAAGTCAATGCACCACATTCTATGGACTTTCACTTTAAAAAAGTCTACTATAAGAAGGGAAATCCAGTGTTTTCTAGAACCACTCTAACAAGTAAACAGCTTT